CCAACGAGTTCTTTCGTTTTCGAGGTATATTGTACATATAAAATTGAATTCGAATTTTTTCCATGAGGAAATCGATCTTGGACGAGATTATGTTTGAAATATTGATAACATGAACTAAGAGACGAAATTTTCCACCTTCTTTTTCCCAATTAAAGAGTTGCAAGAAAATGTAGGAAGATATATTTATTGTGAAAAGCTACGTTTTTCGACTTTTCTCAGCGACGAAATTGGCCACGTTATTCTTCCTAACTGTTCGTTAGCAAGTGCAACAGGATGCGCAATTATCAAATATCGGATAACGAAATCGATCCTTTCTCGACTGCGATGCAATTATCCACCTTTCGAAAGGTGGATTATTCTCTTCCAAATGAGAACAAATCGCACAACAATGAACGCACAAGAGAATCGCGGTTTCAGGGAAGACGAGGGCGAAAAGATCCAATTCTGATCATTTCTTGCCCTTAAATCATCGTTTCCTTTCTCATTAAATTTTCCAAGAAAAAACGTTGAACAAACCGAGACACGCCCTGAAATCGCGATTACGATTACGTAAACAAACTGGAGATCGCGTTTCGAAATTGGGGGAGAAGAATCGGTGGACGAGAAAGTTGTGGGGCGCGAATCCTCTTTTCAACTCGATTCAATCCGGTTGGTGACAAGCGGAGGAAAAGTGGAACGCGTCCATTCTGTGACCCGCATTCATTGGCACAACGAGAGGAGGAAAACGGTGCGTTGGGGAGGAGAGCACGGCCGGGGCTTCGTAAGTCAAGTCATCTGAACCCCGTTAGCTTCTCGTCATCTATTGGTCTTCTAACGTAAGGGTATGCATCGCCAAATGGATTTACGTCTCCTTATACCGAGGATAGAGGCGGTAAGGTTTCCACCTCGTCGTTCATCCGTCTCTCTCTCTCTCTTTTTCACGCGGTACACGTGATGACCGTAACACGTCGTCCTTACGGCACGCTCTTCCTTCTTCTTCTTCTTCTTCTTCTTCGCCAATCGCCTCGAATCGTTCCTCCTTTTCTTTCGGGTTAAACCTCTTCGATCAGGTGGACACCCCTAATTCGACACCTCGAACAACGTGTCTCTCGCTCACGTAATATCGCAAAACCGATTACCTCGGCGATGCCAACCAACCACGTCTTGGCGGAAACGTGAATTTTTATTTTTGCTACGATTGTGCATCCGATAAATGATATGGATCGATTCGATCGATTTTTATTGGAGGAATATTTTATCGGGAAATTGTGGGATAGGTATTTTGTTTTTTTTTTTTGGAAATATTTATTTAATTAACCAAGATATTGTAGAGATTTATGATGTGTAAGTAGATATTGACGTCAACCGATATTGGTGGATTTCTGTAAGCGTAAGTGGTGTGACGTAAGTCGAACTGATCCAAATTTTCATCTCTTTTTTTCTGTTTCTAGCGGATTGTAAAATAGAAATTCGCGATTATTTTTTTTTTTTAGTTTTACAATTTCTTGTATTTGAACGGATTCGAGTGCTATGAAATTCTAATGTGAAAAATATGTAACAACGACTTAATCGAGTATTACGAGTAAATACTCAATTTGTTGATAATTCGTGATGATGTTAATAATTTTTTCTTTATTTTAAATGAAATTTAATTTTTAAATGTATCAATCTGTGGAAAATTATTAATAACCTATTTTTAAGTGAAAACTTATCAATTTAGCAGACATTATTATTTTAAAATTATTGATCTTGATCTGAACGTCAAATTATGTTATAATTTTATAACTTTTTATTTACTTATCTATCTCTCAATCTTTTGTGGAATATCAATTCAAATGTAATTATTAAAGAACAAGAGAGATGATTTTCTGGTTTCGATTTCTAATTCGAATTTATGAAGATGGAATAACGTTCGAGATGGTATCGTTTTATTTCTCGAAATAAAATCCAGACAAGTAGTCGGACACCCGTTACGATCTCACCGTCTTATGAGAAAATATCATTCCCAGAAGAGGCTTTGCGAACCTCTGCTACCTCTCCACCCCAGCAGACCACGATTCTCAAGTTTACTGACCCCAAGGCGTTACAGTTGTTTTCACAACGACATCGAAAATCAACAACAAATTGCGAGAATCTTTCGACATTTCAAAGAAATAATAATAATTTTTCTTCCTTTCTTAAAAAAATTGGATAAAATATCAAAAGACGTAACGTAAAGGTTAGTCTTTTAACATATTTTCCTTTTTTTTTTTCTTTATCAATTATCCAGAGAAAATTTTGATCCATGAAATGTTATATACACTCTTGCAGAAAATATTACGAATTATAAATGTTTATAAAAGATAAAATTTGTTTGAAGATGATCAAAAATAAAAGTGATCAAGTCAAGTGATGAAGTAAGAAAGTTTGAATTTGATCAAATTTTCGTTTCAAAATATATATTTTTTTTTTATCATTAACTCAACGCTTCCTTACTTTTGATATTTTTATAAAGTAAAATCTTGAGAGATTAGAGAATAATTTGTATGCAATTATACGATTTAAGAAGATATAGAATATCGACTTTAGAGACAAAAGAAAGATTTTTCCAATCGTTATACAATATCTTGTCTTCCATTTTCTCGATGAAAGATCGAAGATCCCATCAGGCTTGAATAACCCTTCGAGGTCGGTGTCATGCGCCCCCTGATACGTTCTACACCGACCAAATTCTACACCACGCTCCTTCCTTACTTTCTCTTTTCTCGTCCACTGAATTTCCTTTGAATTTGGACGAACAGAGAACGATTCGTGAACAGAAAAATCGAACACGATGGTAATGAAAAAGGAATGAACGAAAGAAACGAGACGACGAAAGATTATTATAAACGAGAAAGGAAGTCGAGCAAACGAAAGAGAAAAGAGAGAAAAACCGAGATAAAAGTGCAAACGAAAGAAAAAAAAGAAAGAAAGCAAGAGAAGAAGCGATGAAAGATTATTAGAAGAAAAGGAGAGAGGGGGCCAATGAAACGTTCAAAATAAAAGACCAATAAACCGAAAAGAAAAAAAAACGAAATCGCGACAAAAGCGAAAGACTAAGTTAAAAGAGAGCGCGGATAAAGAGAGAGAAGGTCGATGAAATGGACAGATGATAACGCGTCCGAGATAAGAAATATAGAGCAACACGGGCCAAAAGGAAGACAGTCGGGGAATAGGGTGGCCAGTGAACACTGAAAGAAGGAAAGTGGATAGGAAAGGAGAGTGGAACGTCGAGAAAGACCGTCGAGAGAAAGCGAGAGGAGAACACGTGGAGGAGGGCAAGAACGAGATGAGGCGAATCGAAAGAGGGAGAGAGAGAAAGAGAGAGAGAGAGAGAGAGACGGCCACGCAGAGAACAGCGCTAGGAGGAGCGAGAGCGGAGGGGGATGGAAGAGCAGGGAGAGAGAAAGAGAGGTGGCACGCGCAATGCGGGTATTGATTCACGGCGGCAGCCGGCAACCAGCCTGAAACACACGACCGAGTCGACTCGACTTCGCGACTCTGAGACTCGATTCACTACAGTGACACACCACAGCGACCATAGAAGGAGAGGGAGAGAAACAGCTTGGCTAGGCTTTGCCACCAAAGATCGGACGTTGTAGCGTATATCTACTTGCGGTTTCACGGGGAATTGGCCCTTTTCTCCGTTTGGGTCCAACTTGGCGGATAAAGGGACCACGTAAATTGGAAATCCTTAAGAGATTGCGCCCCTTCCGAGTCTTGCATCGAACTCTTGCAACGAAGAACGTGCAGATTCGATCGCGACCTATTTAGTCCTCGTAAAACGTATTTGGTTCCTCGACAACTTCGTTGTCGCACGATCGTTGTTGTAATTTGTCGTGAAGATACGTTTACTTCGCGTTATATTGCAGTTATTTAATACCAGTCGAGGATCCAGGAAATGCAGGGTACACGAAATCAAAGTACTAACATTCGCTCGTTAACAAGTAGAAACTAAAATAGGATCGAAAGATCTGGATAAGATTAATCGAGAAAATCGGAAAATTTGCGTCGTTCGTAATGGAAAGGGTCGAGAACCTTGACGGCTCGCGGTAATATACCTTCACGTAATAATATCCTTTTTATTTTTTTGTGTTTGTTGAATTTTTGTCGTGGTGATTTATAGTAACAAGAAAAATCGAAGTAGCGTCCTAATTTCGTCTATTTTGTTTTATACGAATAACTTAAAAATTATTCATAAATTGTATAAACAATAAGTAACGTTATTCGATTTATTGGTATGGAAATAAGTTCGATCATTTGATTCGTTAAATTTCACCGAAGAAACGAAAGTAATAAAAAAAAAAACGGGAGTATTTAAAAATTGTAATTAAATTTAGCAGAACGGACAACGACAGTCTACGCTAAAAATAAAAAGTAATGGCCAAATAATCGAAGACTAATCGATAATATAAAAAAGCACCAAAGACCGCGTCGAAAGTATAGGCACCTCGCCACGTTAGACCTTAATTCAACCGCAGTAGTGCATACTCTAGTATGGTCAGCCGCAAATTGTATCTGTCGCCATCTCGTATTCCATAAAACGCCCTAATTTTTCGAGCCGACAAATCGATTGCGAGATGTTGGTAATAAATCGCGATAAAAGTACATTTGCGAAGATTACAATTTTGTCTTATTGACAGTAGTACAATCGAGCTATGATCGGACAATTTTCAAATTCTACTGTACCCTCTACCGATCACGATCTACCATTATTCTAAAAATAATCGATAACTTATCATTAATCGGCAACTCTTATATAAGGATAACTACTCGACAGTATTCTACATAACCGGTCATCGATGTTTCGAAGAAACACATTCTCTGATAACAACATTAAAAAGGGTACTGTATTATCGACCTCAGCGTTTTCAGTTTTCCCGATAATACCAACAGTCACCCTGTTTTACCCTATTATCTCATTTTATACGCAGAAAAAAAAAAAAAAGAATTTCGTAAAAATTGATAAAAGTCACGCGTGAAAAAAATGAATGGAAACTCACATGATATCGCCGAGTTTAATACGGGTCTGCACAAGGGCGCAGCTCTTGTGATCACTAGTTGTAACAGCTCTGCGCCTTCTTGCAGCGTATCTCTGCATATCCGGTGGTATTGCAGCAACATCGTTCGAATTTCCAGAGGCCCCTGGTCCGGCATATCCTGTGAGGCCCGCACCTCCACGCACCAGCGGGCTGCTGCCACGCCGACGCGTAGACATGTGCCGGCCTCCCACGCCACCCAACATCCTATAAAAAAAAAAACCACCATCACTTTTGTTAATAAAGAATCGGACGACATTTCCTTTCGGCTATGTAAAAGCGGTTAGCTCTTTATCAAGATAACTTTTACGAGAGAAATTATAATACTTTAACATTTCTCGATTGATGTTAATAAAAGCAGATGACGTAAATAGAAAAGAAAAGTTGCACGAGGGGGGAGGAGGGAGGAGGCAAAAGCTTCGGTCGATGCAAAATTAGCACATCTGATGAGGCGTGACAGATCGAACGAATATTAAGAAGATTGTAAGAGAAATATCCAGTGAAAGCCGTTTCACCTTAATTGGGTTAGTGTACGTTGACTAGTCTAATCTCGAGGTATCAAGAACGCGTCCGAGTCACGCGATCTGCCATGTTTGTTTAAAGACTTCCACGAGATGTATCATCGATAGATTCTTTTTTTTTTTTTCTTTTACAAGTTTTTCTTCCTTGCTTCTTCGCCAAGCGATGCGAAAAGTTTTTTCGTACACTTCTAACACGTCAATTTCGTACGATCGACCGATAACATCTCATCTTATCTCCTCCCTCGTATGGAAAAGTTTGATAACCGCAACTGGGGGCTTTTCACATCGGCGCGAAAAAGATACGAAGACGAGTTCTTTTAATTCGCTTTGAATACAATCACATTTATAGAATCATCGACAGACCACCACGATCAATTAAATCAATTAAATCGAGAGTGAATTCGAGTATAAAACAGTAATTTAGTTTAATTACAACTACAATTCCTAGAACACTCTGCTCTAATTCTTTCAAAAGATTCACAGAAATTAATTAATAATTTATAAGAAGTATACATCCGTGATGATAAATCTCGGGGCAAAAGTGAAATAAATGAATAATCACTGAAACTGACTTATCCTCTTCCCACATAATTTAACGCGGCTTTGTGCGCCAGTCACTATCGAAAGTGATTAAGCCCCGTATATAGTCAGACGACGGCCTATCAAGCGGCAAAACTTCTTCATTCCATCCCTGCTAAGCGATTCCCAAAGTTGGCGAAATATTCCCTCGGAGGGAGTACACTCTGGCGGAGCAACGATTAACCTTCTCTTTTCTATTCAAATGTAATTATCCTCTTTCTTGGAATAAAAATTGTGGAAAGCCTTTAACGTCCCCCTCCCACCCCTTGACTCGTCGTCGCGGGATTTAAAAATATAACGCTTTGGAGAACCTTCGTCCACTTTAAAAGCGTCGTCTCCGATTAAAAAAAAATAATAATTCTCGCTCTACAATTGCGAAAAGAGGGCGAAGAATTGTTTTCCAAGGCCGATGCATAGACAACCACCGGTTTCAACGGCGGCTCTATAACATATCGGTCGACCGAGTTAAAATTGGCTAGGGTCGGGTCCTAGGCTGCCGAGCCGACTGATTATCCCGATGCCACGATAATTATAATTTATAGAGAGGGGCGGACGAAGAAGGAAGGAAAGGAAGAAAAGTGTCGGTGGCCATAAATCGTCCATCCTCGTCCAGTGTCGCCACGCAAACCCTCGTTATCCTTATGTATTTTTCCCTCAAGTCACCTCCGCGCCACGTTCCATTTATTTCGCTTCCCTTCCACGCAATCTCATCATGCCCCGTTTGTCCTTATTACGTTTCACCAGTGTTCGACCAGCCATCCCTTCGGCTTAAAAGAAATCGAAAACGAAAAGGGAAGGAATAACATCTCTCTCGATATTTCTTTGCATTGCAATTTCAATTACTCGATTCATCCTCTTCAACCATCTTCCCAATCCGATCGAAACGCTTATTTTTTTTTAATTAACCGATCTTTTCGAATATTATATAGCTTTATTATGTATATATATATATATATGGAGCTCGAGATAGTGGCAGGAAACTACCAGAGGATCCACGGTGCATCCGGTAGCTTCGAAATCTCGTTACCAGTTTCTTCGATTTCCGCTTTAAGTAAATTGTATCAGGGATCGTGACGCGCCTCGTTCGGAAGCGGGCATAATTGAACAGGATCGTTATTGCGGATTGGAAAGATGGGCGATTAGATATGAAAGAATTGGTAATTTTTATTTTCAAACGAGGAGAGTATCATTTTTTCCCCGAATGATGAAGAGGTGTTCATCGTTCGAACGTGCTCGACGAGGGAAAGCGATACGTGATTTTCGATTCGATTTCGATTCGACTGGCAGCAGGCAGATTGGATCGTGGCGCGGAATATTCATCGACGATGATTTCCGCGCTAACAACGCCGCTCTGTCGTTATTTGCACGGGCGAATTAATATCTGGCTCCGTCCATTTTGTGCCTACCGCACAAAATGAATTCCAATCCATTACGCGTGTAACCAACTTACGTCCATCTATTTGAAAGTAATGGCCGCGCGTCTGTGTTTCCTTTGCAAAATTTATTTTTTTAATTTTTAATTGGCATCGATGTTCGAAATTGTGATCCCTGTACAAGTGGTGATCGGATACGTGCTTATCTTTTCAATCCATTCCGTGAAGCTTCAATAAAGACACCCTCCTCCTCCTCCTGCCTCGAAATTTATATCGAACATTCCTCGTGTTCGGCTTTCATCCGTCTAATCGTGGATACGTCGTGGTTCTTCTCTGTTTCAATCGAAAATCTATTTGCATGATATATATTTTATATATTATCGTGTAATGTAAAACAGATTTGTGTTATATTTTTCGAAAATCAGGAAATTATAGGGAAAAATAAATATATATATTTCGTTTCGAAAAGAAACGAGTCATTTTCTGAAATTAACCATCGCCTTTTGACCCATATATCTGAATTTTAGATACCAACCGAGGAGGATATCATTTATATATAGTCAGAGATATGGATCAAAAGTGAGCCAGCTTGACTAAACAGAGGGTTAAAAATAGATCTTCGATTTGGATCGATAGGATCGTCGCTAAAATATCATCGTAAAAAAAAATATTATTGCTATCTGCCAACCTTTTGCACCAACCATTTATCAAGCGCTCTGTATAAAAGAAAAAAATATCGCTCTTCATTTTACGATCCTACCGTTCGATTATTCGCACCCTATCTTTCTGCCATAAATATGGATTTCCAACGCGAGCACTTTACTTATATTCGACAAGAAACTTAGCTTTAATTTTAATTCTTATTTTTTCAAATTAGATTACGTCCTGACCATCTCAGTGGTGTTAAATCTTAAACCAAGAGAATTCATCATAGAATTATTCGTAGAATTTGGAATTTTAGAAAGAAAATACACCCAGTACATTTATAGATACTCGCATCCCTGCCTGCCCACCCACTTCATTCCAGCCGGTCGAAATTTTAGGGTAGCAACAGGTTGCTAGGCACCCCTGGGAACTCTTATCCTACCTCTCTGTTACCCGGCAACCCCTGTTTCCCCTTCCCTTTCACCCACCTCTCTGTACATCAACCAACCCCCTCCCCGTTGACGTGTACTGAATATCCGAGAGAATCTCTCTCGATCTGTATTCGAATCTGTTTTCGTCTCGCCTCTCCAACCTATTCACGATTTTTCCAAATTTGTTTCCACGTTGAAGAAAAAGAAGAGAGAGAGAGAGAGAGAGAGAATTAACGAGAATTTAAATAACCGACGATGCGAATTTTCATATAATCCATCGTCGTGGAAAATAGTGTTTCGATTATTTGGAAACTACTTTCATTTTGAAATACGAAAAGTTTACGATTTAACTTTTAACCTTTGGAGAATAGATGGCGGTTTATCGTACTGTCATACTCGTTTTTAATCTTCCTTCTTTTCTCGTTCGAATTTTTTTGATATTGATAAAATAAATTGTGCAATATTATTCCCGGTTCGTGTCGGCATAGAAGAACGAATAAAGGAGGAAAATTTATATCTCGTTAACCAACGAGATGTAACAAGGGAGCAAAAATTGTTTACGCGTGCGTAATTTTAGGTTGTTAAAATCTAATGAATTTTGTTTCCAAATACCGTAAACTGATTTTCGAAAATGCCGAACGTTAATAACATCGCCAGATAGACCAAAGTTGGTAATTATAATTGACGAAATTTTAGGTAAAATAATCGAATTTTCGAAATAAATTGTTAATAAATGCATTAATACCTTACTTAATTATATTATACCTACGTTAGTAGAATTTTTATGCCATTTGCACGATTACAATTAATAACAATTAATCGATATACTTGAAAAATTTGATAGCAGATATCAAGATAAAAGATCTACTAACGTTCCCTAAATATAATATTTCGAGCAAAGAAATTCAAACCGAGCTAGCTTTCACTCATAAGAAAATCGGTGGCAAAAAAATTCTTCCTAACGAAAAAAATAATCCGTACTTATTCCGCTCGAAGCATTTCTACAAACTTCACCCCTTTTCCAAACCGCCACACGATATCCCCCCTCGATATTCCATTCGTGTTTATACACCCTCCCTCGATCACTCGCTTTCTTTCCATTCCTTCCTTCCGGCAACTTTCTCCATCCGGGATCCCTCTTCGTTTCTTGATCCGCTCATTCGTCTCATGTACACTGGCCGTGGGAAATCTAATAAAAGGAGTCGGAGGGATTCGAGCGATTCGCCGTGAAATTAGTTCCAACTACGCTTGCTCGATTCTCTCCCCCCTGGTGAAAGGTTGCCGAGGGAGGTGCCGTGGGCCTCGACGAAAATTTCGAGGGTTTGGCGATAACACGGTGAAGGGGAAAGAAAAACAAATATAGCTCGACGAGGAACTCTTGGAACGGAAATTCCACGATATTTCTCTCGTGATCCAAATATTGTCCATACGATCTTCGAGAGAGAGAGAGAGAGAGAGAGAGAGAGAGACGAG